CAGCAATTTCTGTGTCTCTGTCTCTCTCCCCCTCCCCCTTCTCTCTTTCTCTCCTCCCATCTCTGGTCTACAATGAGATTATGAAGTTAAGAAGACCAAAGTCCAAGCCAGGATTGTGCCACTGGCCACACACACACACACGTCTTGGAAGTTAACATTTCTAAGCTTGCGTTTCCTCCACCCTAGGAGGGAACTGTCACCTCACAGAGTAACTGACAGGTTTAAAACAAAGTACATCAACTACGTTTCACCTCCAGCCCAAAAAATGCTTCTGACCTGTACTGAGTTTCTGTTGTCGCCATTGTTGTCATTGTTGTATGGATGTAATTACAATCCAACGTGTTACTACTGCAGCTTCCTGTCAAGGTAGGGCCACAACCACAGACCCCATTTGTATTCCAAGGCCATTAGCCTTGGTGTCATCTCAACACTTTTCTTTTTCTTCAGAGAACTTCATCACTCCAGCCCTGTCTCTCCTGTGTCTCTTCAATGTGACCCTGTTATCCCTCATCATGTATATTTATACCCCTGAATTAGTGCAATAACCTCTCAACAGCTTGTTGTAGCATATCCTGCCTATAAATTTTTCTCTAGATTACACAGAGGGGAAACGTATCTGTTAATAATGCATTTACTTGTTAAAATAAATGGGTATCTCTGCCCAGCATGAGCCAGATATAATTGCATTCCCTTTATACTTAAGGCTTTTCCACCTTGATCTAAGGCTTTTATGAGGAATCCTGACAAAAGCTATAGCCCACATCGTGGCCAACCTCAAGCTAGCAGTGGGATATCAACCAGCACACTGAAAGTGTAGCTTTCTATTCTTCACAGAAAGAATACAGACATACTGGTTCCAGGACCCAAGAGCCCCAAATCCACACCTTCTCGTTTAGACACTCAACTTATGGTTTGTTTCAAAGTCAGATCCTCTCCTGATTCTGTACTTGCTCAAATGTTCATTCCACGTCCACTAATGACAAGTCTGCCTGTTCCTACTTACATAGACACTAGATATTTCCCTTCTACTTATTCCAGATCCGGTGAAAGGTTACTTTGGACGGCTTGTCTGATTCCATGAAGAAGAGCCAGCTAGACTGTGATATACATTTTGGTTTATCTGTTGGTGTATGTGGATTCTGATTGAGCGTTGTGTGTGTGGTGCACAGCCCAGTCGGACGCACAGCAGAGACTTCACAACACTGAATAAGTGATGAATGAACGAGTTCAAGATTTTAATCCTAAACAACTTTCTTGTCAAATCTACACAGTATGCATTCAGTCTAATGCAGTCCTCCAAAATGAGGTTCTCTGAGTAAACCATGAACTGGAAACAAGTAGTACCGAAAAGGAAACATGAAACATCTGGGGTACACCTCAAAATACGGACGTGTATGACAAGTATCAGTTGCTTAATCTTTGCTGCCTGGGGGGCCAGTCCCCTACACCACAGGACTCAAAGGGAAATCAACCATTTCAATGTATTGTGATTGTGTACCTGAGGGGCTAAGGGAAAAAGACTCACTCTCTTGTTGATTTCCTTCAGACCTTTTTCTTTCATCTTTGTATTCTAAGTCTGTGTTCTATATTCTCTTCTCATATCTCTATCCAAAAATGTCCCTTCTGTCTCTCTGGATGTTTTCCTTCTAACTCTCTTAGTGTTTTCCCCCCAATTCTCTCATTCTTGATGTTTTCTTTCTTTTTGTTTTTATTCTCCTCCTCCTTTATTTTTCCTCGATAGCTGTATACCCCAACAAAAATCTGTCAGGCAATAGAGATTGCAATGTGGTTACATTCTATTTTTTGAGTAAATGATTGCAATGAGCACAAGTAAAGACAGCATGTTTTCTGTTTCCTTTACATGATTAAACATTTTACATATTACAGGTGGAAAATTTTCCCGAGAATCTATGTACATTCATACCAAAGCAACTTGTTATAGATTAACAGTGCAGGCAAGTAAGGTATTCTCTTACTGATAGGCTGTGTTTTGTGGTTACCAAAAAGGACTAAATTACCTTATTACTTATCTTGAAAGGTAATCTTATAAGTAATCTTAAAGGAATCACAAACCTAAACTTTTATATATGAAAACTATCAGTCAGCTCTACATTAAATCTTTAGGGTATATATCCACTCATCAATACTTTTGTTTTTGTTGTTGTTTTAATCAGGAAGCTGAGGGTAGAAATTAGTATAAGGGATTAATCATCACCTTTGGTCATCAACCAATCATAGCAAGCAAGGCCTGTCAGCTACCGATAATTGAACTGATAATTTGTTCTTGTTCCCCGCCCTTAAAGAGTTCCTCACTCCGCTAGGTGCCTTTCTAAAACTTCAGATTTTCCTCTTGGGCTTTTCACCTCAAAGCTATTTAATAAAAACATCTTAGTTGAACCTTAAGTCATTTTCAAAGCTTCGTTTCAGCTATAATGCACTCTGACACCTGCGAACCCACCTTCCTACGTGAAGGTTAGAAGAATTTTAACTAGCTGGGATACTGGGACTCAATCATTTCTCTAAATCCTTAGCCTAAGCCCCAGTCTATATGGTTCTTTAGTAGAAACTCATGTGTTCTAGCTGTGTGATAATTGCTTGTTTTATTTTTCATTATCAAAACTCTATTTCGCTGCTCTTGCAGAGGACTCGATCTGGAGCAGTTGCGTTCTGAGCTGCTGCCGTGTACTTGCAGCCCCATATTCGTGCTTAACATAGATCTTTATTTGCCCCCTATTTTCTGTGACTCTCCCCTCTGGTTTACTATTTACCATCAAACATTTGTTTCAAGGTGAAATCATTTTTTCTTATAATTTTACGATACCATGTTGGCTTTAATTATTAAACCATTTATCATTATCGTTAAACAAAACAAAAAAACTCTATTTAAACTAACATTCTTATTATCAATTAGACAGAACAGCTTAGGAAGAAATCATTTTCATAATAATCCACAGTAAAAACATCAAAACATCCAGTAGAACAGGATATTTCCGAGAGATGATCATACTACAGTAAGGGCAATGGGGATCTCCTCTCAGCACGCCAGATACCAGAGAAAGGTGGGAGATGCATGCGTGTAAAGACACAGCAACAGCGAAAGTCACTCTGGCATCTGCAGTCTTAGGGCCTTGTCTATCTAAGTTTTATACATTGGGATTTTGTTTCCTGGTGGGTCAATCCCCTGAAGTCAATTGTCATCTGCCGTTCCTCTAACACAGCCACCGGCACTTAGTAATGTAGATAATCATATCTTTGTTGTATGTTTTTTTGCACACAATATTTTTCATTTTGACTTTATTTATTGGATATTTTGGCTAAACACTATGCAGAGGTATGCCATCATCTTGCTGTCTAGCTCACTACAGTTACCATGATCTGCTTTGAGTTGAGGCAGTCTCCTAGGAACTGATATGAGACCTGTCTTTACTTTCATGACTGGACAATCAGAGCTGGGTTAACCAAGAATGTGAATGCCATACTTGAAATCTAGTGGTTCTGTGACCATGCTGCGAAATAAACCCAAACTGCGGTTACCGACTTCTCCATTTCCACCCTTATTCCATAGCTTAATAAACTGCATTCCAGACGGGAGATAAGACACAGTGATTAGCATGTCTGCCACCATGAGGAGTGAGATGTGTGTACATCAGAACAGGCAGAGCATCTAAATGCAGAGGTTCCCAGAGCAAGACTGGTCCTGGGGGAAACAGCACATCACAAGCTTCCAACTCCCTCTCATTCCCCAGTGTTGTAATTTTGTCTTCTGCGATCAGGGAAAAGAACATTTTTTTTCAACAACAAAATAAATCTGTTTTATTTCAACTACAATAAACCTGTATGCTCTGAGAAATATTAGCATCAAAATGTGGTTGGGGCAGGCACGTGGTTGCCCTGTGGTATTTTGCTATCTTCACGTTTTAATTTAAAACTGGTCATAAATTAGAGGACTATAATCTTTCTTTTTTCTCTTTTTTTCACAGACACATACCCTCCTGGGTTGTGTTTTGTTTGCTTACTTTAAACCTTGGTTAATTGCCCACCGTGTTTCTAAAGCGCCATCCTCAGTCTTCAGCGGCTCCGCCATATCATAGACTGTTCTTATCTCCACGAGATTTGTACAAGTTGTTTAAAAACCATGATCTCCAAGGTTGGAAAAAAATGAAGTGCACTTGAAATGACAGTTATGTTGAAAGATAAGCAGAGCAATGCGACTTATCAAAATGGGTACAATTTTTCTGAGTTAATGAGCACAATATACAGCGTTCCAGTACATACACACCGGGGGGCGCTTTGTAAAATATCAAGTACACCACATTATTGCAGACATAACTGTGTGGGATATGTATCTAGGCCTGAGAGTGGAGATAACAAAATATAAGTGCTTTGCCTGTCTAAACATGTTAAATAAATGAGTGCTCACTATCACAACCCAATACATTAGAAGATGTACTTGCATAGTTAATTTTTCTTTTTAATGCACTGCACGTGATCATTTGAAATGCAGAGCCGGAGTCTATCTCAGTGTTTGAAGACAAGGTTCCTTTCATTTAAACAAATCTTTATTGAAATAAGCCTTTTTGAAAAGAATCTTTGGTGTATCCTCTTTTGCAGGAAGTTCCATCAGGGTAAATGGCGATAAAGAAGGGACATCGCAGGGTATTGTCTAAGATCACCCAGCAGAGTAAAAAGGACATAGGTGGCCGTAAACACAGGAAGGTCCGATTCCCTGCGATCGCACTTTAAGCACCCTAGATTTCACAAACTGTTGTTTGCTTCTTCTGCAATTTGGGACATCTGTACTCACAGTGTTTAAGGACTGGGAAAGTGGAGAGGAAGACGGAGAGGAAGAGGAAGTGGGAGAGAAAGACAGAGTGAGACAGTCGCTTCTTCTTCCATTAATGAAACAGTAACTTCAGAAGCATGTCTGGAGTGAAGTTTTGCAACTGTGTCCCTCCCATGCGGGTTTCCAGGCATTCTACCAATGTCATTCCGGGCTAAAGATTCAGGCAAAAGCCTGGAAGGCAGACCATTGACAAAACTCTGGATTCTATCCATATTTTCCCTAATTTTTCCATTGTTAGTTCCTAAACATGTTGCTTCATTTCAGGAGAGCGTTTGTCCACTGGGGCTGGCTGTGACACACAGCTGCAGTCCTATCAAACTCCTTTCTCTGTCAGTGTTCATGTGCACACCATGAGAAGAAGCTCTTGATGTCAGTCTAGCTTGCAGCTGGCTCATGCCCTCATTCTGTGTCAACTCTTTCTCCTCTTGTCTCTCTCTCCTCACAGGGGGCCAGCTTTGGTGCACCACTACGAAGGCCATCTCAGAGGGAGAAGAGCTCATTGCCTTTGTGGTAGATTTTGACTCAAGGCTACAAGCTGCCAGTCAGATGACTCTCACAGAAGGGATGTACCCGGCCCGCCTGCTGGACTCAATTCAGCTGCTTCCTCAGCAAGCTGCCATGGCTTCTATTTTGCCCACAGCTATTGTCAATAGTAAGTTCTAGCCCAACTTTGTGGGGGTGATGGGTATTTACGGGAGAGACAAGCAGCTGGGATCACACATTTTCTTCAGTTTGTGGCTAGAAGTGTGTGTGTGTGTGTGTGTGTGTGTGTGTGTTTGCTTCATATGTAAATGCAGGGGAATAAACATGACCTATCATGTCAGATTGCATTCCTAAATGTCACCTGCACTAAGAGCTGTCATTCTCTACCTGTTAAATAATACCCAACTATACTTAGCAATGACAAGCCTAGTAGCTTTCCTTGGTGATTCCCTAGTATCAAGTATTTGCATTTGTTAAGGGCCATGGAATTTGGAAAAAAAATATAAATTTGAAAATAAAATTTTATTATATATGCTAATGATAAAGAATATATAGTCTTAAGTTGATGTGAAGCTCTGATGTACAATTATGAATTATTCTGTTTGAAAATAACATTATTAATTATTAGCTTCAGATAAACTGGTACAAGTACATAGAGCTTTTGTTTATATCCTTATAGCCTGGATGAAGGCCTAGTAGCCTGGACAAATCAAAATATTTGTTGGTTAAAAGAAAAGGAAAAAGAAATAAGCTTTTAATATTTTATAGAGAACTTTGAAATATACTGTCACAATGAACACTGAACTAGTTTGGATACGCATAAAGGGGTTCTTCATATGGTGGAGTCAGTGGTTCAAGGGCTCTCGGGTCTGTTTCTGAGATCTGCTTCTGCTGAGCTCTCTGTGAGAAACAAAAATGAGTAGCAATCCCACTCCAAAATCAACTGCAAGGAACGAATGATACTAATGCTGGCAATGAAAATGCATCTAGTCTTCACATAATCTTGAAAATCTAATGGAAAAGAAATCTAGACAGCAATAATATCTTCTATTAGTGTAAAAATATCCAACCATAATTATGATGAAAGACTTTCACAGGTGGTTCTGCAATCACTATGCATCTAATCAATAAGTCAATGACGTTCAACCCAATGAATTCTTATTTTTCTTGTTTGATTTTGTTTTTGTTTTTCGAGACAGAGTTTCTCTGTAACTTTGGAGCCTGTCCTGGAACACACTCTGTAGACCAGGCTGGCCTCAAACTCAGAGATCACCCTGCTTCTGCCTCCCAAGTGCTGGGATTAAAAGTGTGTACCACCACCACCCGGCCATACTTGATTTATTTAAGGGAATAGTTTTTATTATCCTTACTTTGATTCTCATTGCATGGATCATGAAATAATGTGACCAACTTGGATTTGAGGCAAAATAATTTTATTATATGGGATTTCAAATAAATTTACTCAATTATGATTCTCCTGCGTATATTATTAACTATGTATATGAATATACCTGTTTACTTTTGGTAGCAAGGAAATATTTAATTTCAAATGACCTACTATAAACCCAGATTATCATTTGTGTCCTGAAATCAATCAGTTGACTCTGTTTAAGTATCCACCATATTAGCTAGGCAACTTCTTGGACAGTGTAAATGTACTTAACTTGGGAACAATGGATTAAATAATAGGCATCAGTCCATCATTTTGAAGTTACTTCTGTCTTCCCTCCACTAGAATTTGATCCTTAGTTCTTCCTCATTTCTGACTCATGGTTCCACAGAGCTGTTTCCTTTGTCTGACCATCAGCGACACATTCATTGTTCAGGAATGAGAAGCCAGGCTCTTTCTGCGGAGTTTTAGAATTCTCTTAAGACTTCCCCTCGTGTCCCTCTGAATTCATCTCAGAAATATCAAATTCCACATGTCTAACATGACCCTCTGTTCCCCCAAAACCTTCTGGACAGCATTCAAAAGCCCTTTGTCTACAATACAGAGACCAGGCTAGATCAGCCCAAAAAGTACCTTTGCCTTCACTTACAAGATTCTGGTCTAATTCATCTACTCATTTCTGTTCCTCTGTGTCACTTTGTCATCCAAACAGTATGGAAACAGGTTTAAGGCTAGATTCCAATCTCAATGTAACCCTTTATACTAGTGGTTCTCAATCTATGGGTCGTGATCCCCTTGATAAGCCTTCTTCTCCAAAAATATTTATATTATGATTCATAACAATAGCAAAATATGGTTATAAAGTAGCAAGGTTGGGGGGTCACCACACCATGAGGAACTGTATTAAGGAGTTCCAGCATGAGAAAGGTTGAGAACCACTGTTTTACATGTTGTGTAGAAGGGAATCAACTGTGGTTTTCTCAGCTATCACTTCATGAAGAGGAAAAATACATATGTGAAGACATTTTCTATGAATGATGTGGAAATCACACATCACAGCCCAACTTCATAAACTTGATATGACGGAGGCTGTTATCCAAGCCTCATTTTACTTCACTTAAATAATTGAGTCTGGCTCCTGCCACTTCAGAATGTTTCTTCCACATTTACTACCTTTAAAACCACCCTGCTCTTGTGATAAGCCCTGTTTCTCCATCACTGAGTCCAAATGAAAGCCTCTCCAAAGAGTCTGCAAGATGGTGTATAATCTGCCCTGCCCTCGCCTCAATAGTACCACACAGCTGCTACACCTTCAGTCAGGTGCTCCCAGGCTCCTGCAGCTTCCCCTGCACTGTGGCCCCTACCAAGATGACAGGAAATCGTATCTCCAACTGAATCAGTTCATTTCCTCCTCCACATCAGCTCTAAGGAGCAACAAAACCAGCCCTCTAACCGCCTGACTGGCTCCTACCTCTGTCCTGTGCCCCACAAGCCCAATGGGTAGCACTGTCCAAGCCCCAGATCATCTTTCAGGCTCTCCCAGCAGTGGTCTGTAAAGACACTGTCTACTGACTCCTACCAACCCAGATGCAAGCTCTTTAACTCGAAGTTCCATCCTTCTGTTTGTTTTGCACCAAACCCAACAGAGATGGGAATGTAAGCTCTTCAGCCCTAGAAGTTTTAACCTCCTGTTTGTTTTACACTGAACCCAGCATAGAGTTTGGCATCTTGTAGGCACTCTGGGATTAATTCATTAAATCAACAAGCAATGTTAAGAATGGACATTCAGGATATCTTAGTCTAGCCGCCACATGCATGCCTTTTAAGTAATCATATAAACCAATTCTCACTGCTATGATAAATGTGTGTCTTTTTCTAAACCATCAGTATAAGATGAAATTACATTGGCATCTCCTATATATTACTTACAGTCTGTAGGAAGTTCAGCAACAGAGAGTACCATTTCTTTAAGAGCCTAGTACTGATCTACCAAGCACCCAAGATCATACTCACCAAACTCAGAAAGATGGAAGTAAATGTGACTTCACCCTCATTTCACACACACACACACCCCGCCAGACTGCAGCTAACATGTTTCTGGTTTTGTTGCAGAGGACATCTTCCCTTGCAAATCCTGCGGCATCTGGTACCGAAGCGAGCGGAACCTGCAAGCCCACCTGATGTACTACTGCAGTGGGAGGCAAAGAGAAGCTGCTCCAGCGTCTGAAGAAAACGAAGACAACACTCATCAGATTGCCAGCCTGTGTCCCTTCCCACAATGCACCAAGAGCTTTTCCAACGCCCGAGCTCTAGAAATGCACCTGAACTCACACAGTGGTAAGGGCCTTTAATGTTTCTGTTGTTGCTTCAGGACACTATACTCTTTTTATACATACATACATATACGTATAAGTATATGTATACGTATATGTATGTATGTATGCATATACATACTTCTTATTTATTATATATGCATATAGATGATAGATAGAGATAGATAGATAGATAGATAGATAGATAGATAGATAGATAGATAGATAGATAGATAGATAGACGGATAGATGGATAGATAGATAATTTTACTGGATCAAACAGGAACGTCTATTCTTTAGATGCAGCATATTTTAACCTAAGGACCTGACTCTGATTTCATCAACATCTTCTGCAGTTTTCAGACTGTGCGCCTAATCGTTCCATTCATTTTCCTCTTCGGCAGAACAGCATCATTTCTTCTCCCCTTGATCAATACCACTCATTTTCACTGCTTTCCGTACCAAGTGGCCTTTGGAAATTGGCCCCATGGTGTTTTCCACGAGCCGAGGAAGAAATAGTAGGCACATTTCAGAAGGAGCTGCTGTTCAATTGAAGCTGCTAGTTTAGAAGTTTCCCTCAAAAATTTTCTCAATTCCCAGAGTGTGTTTGCTTAAAGTTTAAGTGAACTTTATCACATGAAACTACTCTCGATTCCTTAAGGAAAACAGGCAGTTGGGAGCTATTCACACCTATATTTGAAATGGATCCCAGCTATTAGCTTCATCTCAGGACAGCCCATTCTTACAATTTTAAAATGTATAGAATTATATTAAGGTTAAATATACTTAGATTTTTTCTCATTTTTTAATATTTTATTTTATTTGAGTCAGGGTCTTTCTACATAGCCCTGGCTGTCCTGATACTCATTATGTAGACCAGGCTGGCCTCGAACTCACAGGACTGAGAAGAGAAGCCAAGCCTATTCTCATCATATACGAACAAACAGAAGTAGGAGTTGTTCGATATGATGCTTGCCTCCACCATCAGTGGCAGTAACTAGTCAGTAACAGAGAGTGGTCCACCAGCGTGGATGCTGGTCCAAACTGACTTTATTGGCATACAATTGTCTGTCAAATATCAGTCCTAGGCACAGATAGACCACATTCAGTAAAACCAACAAATAAATAGATTTAGATGAAAGATAAAAAAATGAGTCAAGTGATTTCCAGTGCAATGTCGTTCCTTTTTTGCATGAAGGTGTTCAGTAGTTAGCAGTCACTCTAGTGACTATTCACTTCCTCCTTTGTAGAGTATAGTACTCCGATAGTTGAAGAAATTACAAGTCTGAGCCTTAAGCATGACTCTACTGTTACACAGCTTGATTACTAAAATACTCTTGGTTTTTTTAGGTTGTTTATTGGCCCATAAGATAGAAGCACTGATAATTCTCCCTTCCTATACCATAACACTCACAAAGAGGCTTGGGAAATTATTGTTACCGACGTCACTAAAATGTCAGTGCACGGATCTGAAGGATTTCTGTGTCTGCTGAGTGGACACCACAAGCTCACTAGGAAAGGTTTGCATCACTGGGAAGCCAACAGGTGCGGTTCTCAGCTCTCCTACTTTGTGTGTCTTTGCAGGAGTGAAGATTGAGGAGTTCCTGCCCCCAGGGGCAAGTTTAAAATGCACGGTCTGTAGCTACACGGCTGACTCCGTGGTCAACTTCCACCAACATCTCTTCTCCCATCTTACTCAAGCTGCCTTCAGATGCAACCACTGCCACTTTGGCTTCCAGACTCAGCGGGAGTTACTGCAGCACCAGGACCTCCATGTCTCCGGTGGCAAACTTCCCAGAGAAGGCGACATGGAGCACTCTCCAAGTGGAACTGAAGACAGCTTACAGCCAGCCTCAGACTTGTTGGCCAGAAGCGACCTCTCCCAGAGCCAAAAGGCCTTGCAGACTAAAGATGCAAGCTCAGACACAGAACTGGATAAGTGTGAGAAAAAGACTCAGCTCTTTCTCACCAACCAGAGACCAGAGATACAGCCTGCAGCAAACAAACAAAGCTTTTCTTACACAAAAATAAAGTCTGAGCCTTCCAGCCCGAGACTTGCTTCGTCTCCAGTCCAGCCCAACATCGGGCCCTCTTTCCCGGTGGGACCTTTCCTGTCTCAGTTTGCTTTCCCCCAAGACATCACGATGGTCCCTCAGGCTTCAGAGATCTTAGCCAAGATGTCAGAGCTGGTGCATCGGCGACTGAGACACGGCAGTAGTAGCTACCCTCCAGTAATTTACAGCCCTTTGATGCCCAAAGGGGCTACATGCTTTGAGTGTAACATAACATTCAATAACTTGGATAACTACCTAGTTCATAAAAAACACTACTGCAGCAGCCGATGGCAGCAGATGGCCAAGTCCCCCGAGTTTCCGGGTGTTTCCGAGAAGATGCCTGAAGCTGTAAGTCCCAACACTGGCCAGGCTTCCATAAACCTTCTCAACCCAGCTGCTCATTCTTCAGACCCAGAAACGCCGCTTCTTCAAACACCGTGCATCAACTCCTCTGCTGTCTTAGATCTGATGGGGCCGAACGGCAAAGGCCATGAGAAGGACTTTAACACTCCAGCCAAAAAGCCGTCCGCCTCCAACAGCAACGACGACAAAATGAACGGCAAGCCGGTTGATGTGAAAAATCCCAACGGCCCCTTAGTGGACGGGGAAAGTGACCCAAATAAGACCACCTGTGAGGCTTGTAACATCACCTTCAGCAGGCACGAAACGTACATGGTCCACAAACAGTATTACTGTGCCACACGCCATGACCCTCCGCTGAAGAGGTCCGCTTCCAACAAAGTGCCGGCCATGCAGAGAACCATGCGCACACGCAAGCGAAGAAAGATGTATGAGATGTGCCTACCTGAGCAGGAGCAAAGGCCGCCCCTGGTCCAGCAGAGATTTCTTGATGTAGGCAACCTCAGCAATCCTTGTAGCTCCTCTCAAGAGCCCACCGAGGGGCTCGGCGAATGCTACCACCCGAGATGCGACATCTTCCCTGGAATTGTCTCAAAGCACTTGGAAACTTCGTTGGCCATGAACAAATGTGTTCCGGTTCCCAAATGTGACACGACCCATTCCAGTGTCTCCTGCTTGGAAATGGACGTGCCCATAGATCTCAGCAAAAAGTGTTTATCGCAGTCGGAGCGGACGACCGCGTCTCCCAAAAGGCTGCTAGATTACCACGAGTGCACCGTGTGCAAGATCAGCTTCAATAAGGTCGAGAACTACCTGGCCCACAAGCAGAATTTCTGCCCGGTCACCGCACATCAGCGTAATGACCTAAGTCAGCTGGATGGCAAGGTGTTTCCCAATCCAGAAAGCGAACGGAACAGCCCCGACGTCGGCTTTGAAAGAAACCTGGTCAGATGTGAGAAGAACGGGAATCCGAAGCAGCCCTCTCCCAACGGAAACTTGTTCTCGTCCCATTTAGCAACTTTACAAGGTCTGAAAGTCTTCAGCGAAGCCGCGCAGCTCATCGCTACAAAAGAAGAGAACAAACATTTATTTCTTCCCCAATGCCTTTACCCTGGAGCAATAAAGAAGACGAAAGGAGCCGACCAGCTTTCTCCATACTATGGCATAAAGCCAAGCGATTATATCTCTGGTTCTCTCGTCATCCACAACACCGACGCAGAACAAAGCACAAACGCAGAAAATGAGTCTCCGAAAGGCCAGGCCTCCTCAAACGGGTGTGCCGTGCCCAAGAAAGATTCTCTGCCGCTCTTGCCCAAAAACAGAGGCATGGTCATAGTGAACGGTGGACTGAAGCAAGACGAAAGGCCTCCGGCCAACCCGCAGCAAGAGAACATTTCCCAGAATGCCCAGCACGACGATGACCACAAATCCCCTTCGTGGATCTCTGAGAACCCACTAGCTGCAAACGAGAATGTCTCGCCAGGAATTCCCTCGGCAGAAGAACAGTTGTCTAGCATAGCGAAAGGTGTGAATGGCTCCACCCAGGCTCCCGGCAGTGGGAAATACTGCCGGCTATGTGATATCCAGTTCAATAACCTTTCAAACTTTATAACTCACAAGAAGTTTTATTGCTCGTCACATGCAGCGGAACACGTCAAGTGAACTAACTGAGTTTAAAAGGAAAGCAGTTACCTTTGGTACCAGTGTTTAGTATGTTCTTCTAAACAGTCCAGAAAACAAAGGCACTGTGTGAATTACATCTGGCAACCAGGAGACATTCATTACGTCTGAGTTGAAGACTTAAGATGTAATTTCATTACAGACCATTAGTAAAGTGTATTATTGGTGCCATTTTCAAAAACAAAATTAATTTATTTTACCAGCAGTATTCATAGCTGTGGTTATGTTATTTTTTATTTAAAAACTTTATATTAAAGTCATTTGTAATGTTATTGTATAGTTATTGTGTAGCACATATGGTTTGCACTGTATAGTAGCTTTTAACGAAAATAGTCACAAACAATACAGAAGAGCATTTTAGACATAGCTTCAAAAGCACTTGTGTACCCTGATTTTTTCCTTATATGCTGTTGCAGATATCCGTATATGCTAAAATATAACCTGCAAACCTGTTCTAAATACCCACGCTCTAAGTTCGCCTTAAGATTTCAATTCTTGGATAATCAGGCTCCATTTGCACTTTATATTTTAGCAAATACAGTCGCTAGGCTTCGCATTCGTATGTAGCCGTGTATTTCTGTCCATTTTCTCAACCTTAAACACGGATGTTAATTGGAGATGGCATTTTCCTTTCTTGTATAGTACTTGTATTTTCTTTCGCTGATGCAGCCCTGTCTCAATTTTTAAACCTTCGCTGTTAAATGCAATACTTTATAAAGAATGAGCAAAATTACTGGAAGCAGTATTGTAAGGAATGGAGTACTTCTAATCGGTTTTCTCTTTCGAGAGGCACAGTCTAAAACGAAATCCTAAACTCACTGCTGCAAGTATGGATTTAATTCATATATAAGATCTATTTAAGTATAAAGAGTAGCAATACTGCACCTGGTGATCACAAAGATAACGTTCTACTTCTGATAGAAATAATTTCTCAGCCAACGTTGTTACTATGCATGTACACGGATGGAATAAAATTCCAAATTGTTGGAGAAATTTGGTGTCCTGGACTTTTTTCCCCCTTAAGCGCCAAGGGCAAAGCATCCAGCCCTCGGTGTGCCGCAGGCTAAAGAGCGAGACTTCGTCAACGGTTATGTATTCATTTCTGCTCCCAGCTTTCAAACCCGGAAGTGAGGTTTTCATTTCTTCTCTTTAATCCAGCTGTTCTCAGTGGGACTCAAGGCCTACCAACCTCGGGCACCTCCTGTGAGGCCACAGTTGCAGCCGTGGCAGCAAAATGAACTTACAGGCATTGCCTTAACACAGTGGTTCTCAACCTTCCCAGCACCGGGACCCTGTCGTACAGTTCCTCGTGGTAGTAGGGACTCCCAGTCATAAAATTATTTTTTGGTTACTTTATGACTTTAATTTTGCTGCTGTTATGAATCATAACGTAAGTGTCCATGGTTTCCAACGGTCTTATTTGGTGCCCCCTGTGAAAGGATCGTTTGACCTCAAGGTTGAGAACCACTGCCATACCAGATTCTGATTTGACAGATTTTTGTATTCTGTAGTGGATTTAAATATTGCAGAAAAGTCCAAACAAAAATAATAAAATAGAATAAGAACCACCCTTTTTTTACTGTTACTCAGACTACTCAACTAATGCTTACAATCTGAACTGAGTTTTAAAAAAAAAAATTCAACATATGTGTTCAATGTTGTAATTAAAACCAAAAAGTAAATCACCGTAGGAACTTTTTAAGAACATTGAAACCTTTTGCATTTTCCAGCGTACTATAAGTTTCAAATTTGCAAGGACCCAAAGTCACAAAAACTAACAAGAAAGAGGCAGAAATCTAGGACTTCTTCTTATCTGCATGTGCATCCATGTCAGACTGCAGACACAGAGATGGTGGTGTTGAGTCCAGAGTCCCTGTCTGCTGTGGGACTTAGAGGAAAGGCAGTCTTTATAAAGGAGAACATTTCGGGGATGCCAGCCTCCCCCAGCCGGAGTGCTAGTGTTTGACCACCTGTGGAGGTTTCCAGAGTCCGTGATGCCTTCAGATACCACCGCCCTTGGAACTGTGACCATCCTGCCTAGTAGGGATGACACCTGCTCCCACACGCCACACTCGGCTTGCTCTTTGTCACACAATGAGAAGCATGAGAGAGAACACCCCAACATTGTCTCCCTAGTGTTCCTTTCTGACGGACAGAAGGATAAAGCAGTGAAAAGTGTACCCCTTATCGTGTACTCACAGTGCAGTGTCCTGGTTCTCTGTGCCTTGGGTGAGCTCACAAGTCCCAGCTGTGCCTTCTGCACTAACTCACAAATAATCCCAGGGAGAAGCATTTCCTCGCTTCTAGCCTGGAATCATCTCCACAACACGAACTTCTAACCATGAGATCTACCACTCGAAAGAGGTCCTCCCAAAACCCTATGCCCCTAAAGACTCCAGGAAATAATTAGGATATCATTTAATCTGTATATCTCAACATCAGCATTGACAGTCAATCCAATACTTTTGTATGTTAAATTCATTATCTTTTGGACCAATTCCCTTTTTCTCAGTGAAAAATGCTTAGAGACATTTTATATACCCAATAGGCAAGCAAATGAAAATTAGAAAATGCAGGCCATGACATATTTTATCTATGAAAAGGAACATTTCCATAATAGAAATTGTAAAAATAAAATGAGCAAGACCTCATTTATTTCGCAGATTATTTTTACTATGAATTTATGTGGGAGTTGAAATTCTTGACAATACCACACATCAAGCACCCATTCAGAAAAATGCCTTTGTTTCTGTCATGTCAATAAATAGTATTCCCATGAATGAAAGGTTGGCTTTCCTATAATTACAGGCAATCTTGCTCCACAACAGTGTCAATCTTCATTACTAAAAGCCAAAATTACTTAGAGTTGGATTTTTTTTAATGATACTGTTTCTAGATTTCAGTTTTCAATAAGTTAAAATAATCTCATCTTGGATCACTTTGTACAAGGGTTCTTATTTTTAGTTTTGTGGATTTAAGAGATAAACGGCACCTCCCACTTCCGAATGCCGTCCATCGCTTGTTGTCAACATGATCCTGTAATACTGAATCATTACATGCCTTGTTTAGATAGGATCAATTGTGAACGTTTGGCATTAAAACCACATACTCACTTTTAGATTTAGTTGAGCCCAATGGTATCAGTGGGTTGATAATCTAACTTCTCATTTCTTGAGTTTGCATGGGCAGTTTCTGTATACTACTCCAGTTAGCTCATTGTAAAGTTGCATTAAGAAGAAACGAATCTGCAAATTTGAACCTCTGTCTATTCCTTTTCTTTACATCACTCTTCAACGTCAAAGATGATGCAATAAGTATCTGTGAATGGATTGGGGAATGAATAACAGAAATAAGAGTTTGTGCATGAATATGTGTGTGTGTGTGTGTGTGTGTGTGTGTGTGTGTGTGGATAGAAATGAAAGAATATGTGAATGGTAAGCTGAAAGTTACCATGTTTAGTCAAATCATTGATGGAAAGATGTGATGTGTCAGATCGGTTTCAAGAGATTACTTTTAAGTATGGTGATAGACGCTTGTGAGGAAAAATAAATCCACATCTAAAAGGCTGTTTATGAGGAAAGTCAGGGTCTGGCATGAACTACTTCCAAAGGAGTTTTATTTTTATTTATTTATTAAAAATTTCCACCTTCTCCCCACCTCCTATTTCCCTCCCACTCCCCCCACTCCCCCTCACTCTCCTTCTCCAGTCCTAAGAGCAGTCAGGGTTCGCTGCCCCATGGAAGTCCAAGGTCTTCCCCCCTCCATCCAGGTCTAGGAAGGTGAGCATCCAAACAAAACCAGGCTCCCACAAAGTCAGTCCATGCAGTAGAATCAAAGCCCAGTGCCATTGTTCTTGGCTTTTCAGTCAGCCCTCATTGACAGCCACGTTCAGAGAGCCCGGTTTGATCACATGCTCCATCGCTCCCAGTCCAGCTGGCCTTGGTGAGCTCTCATTAGATCAGTCCCACCATCTCCGTGGGTGGACACACCCCTCGCGGTCCTGACTTCCTTGCTCATGTTCGCCCTCCATCTGCTCCTCATTTGGACCTTGGGAGTTCAGTCCAGTGCACCAAACAGAGACCCACAAAGGAGTTTTATGTAGGAAAATAGTCACAAAAAATGTAAGAGAGCATGGGGGGAATTGAAAGTGATTGGGAACATAAGGGAGTCACCCCATTCCTGACCTGCTTATTGGAGAAACGCAAGGAAAAGTATTTCAGAGAATCAGTGCCTGGCATTCTGCTGAAGCCTTTGCCACTGTCTTTGCATCAGAGCTGTTCAGGAAGCTGGGGGAACCCAACTCCTCCTGCTCACAGTGTTGAATCCCAGGTATCTGAATTACCATCAACATCCCACTAAAGTTGGAGCCCAGGAAGGCCATGCTAGTGGAACTAAAGAGCAGGCTGGCCCTTCACCTGCCTCTTGGAACACACGAGCTGCAGAGGACCCTGCAATCGTCCATTTCACTGTTGCTGTTAGAAGACAGATCACCTAGAGCAGAAAGAGTCCCCCCCCGCCACGCCCTTTTTTCTATACTTTATTTTCTCACTCAGTGCCTCCCACTTTCAACTCACAAGGTCATTCTGCAGGATACAGTAGAAAGTGACTGATAAACTGTCAATATAGGCAGAACTGTCTTTGAAATTTCCTGCTTCATGAAAATGTCTGCCAAATACTATGGGCCTGTAGGCTAAAGATGGATGTCCCAATGTTACAGAAGAACTTTGGGTGACTGTCCAGACAGCGAAATGTCTCTTTCAATTCTAGAATTTTGGAAGTTGCTTACAATGCACTTCCTGTTTATTTAGTTAAGAATATATCCTTCTGGGGTCTTTGATGGTGTTAAAGAATAGATGGTTATAATTATAGTTTTCCTTAGTGACAATAAAAGATAAAGTAGATATAAATATTGTAACTATAATTCTTGCTTGATACTTGTTTTATTATATGTAATTTTACTATATTAAAGTTAAAACCTTCCTTTTTATTTAAAAAGATAAGGGGAGATGATATGAGATTCCCCTCTGTATGCTTTGAATATGTTTTATTGCCATTGGTTATTAAAGAAATTGTTTTGGCCCAAGCCTGAGTAAAATCAGATGGATAATCTAAACAGAGATATAGAGAGAAAGTAGGCAGAGTCAGAGAGACGCCATGTAGCTACCGGAGGAGAAAGACACCAGACACCAGCCAGAAACTTACCAGTAAGCTACAGCCTCATGGTGATTCACAGCTTAATAGAAATGGGTTAATTTAAGATGTAAGAGTTAGCTAAAAATATGCCTAAGCTATTGGTCAAACAGTGCTGTAATTAATATAGTTTCTGTGTTATTTGGGTCTGGGCAGCCAGGAAATGAACTAGCAGTCTCCACCTACAACAAGGTGTCTGTTTCTGAGGGTCTCTGAACACTGTAGCCTGAGGAGAACCTGAGGAAAACACACTGCCACGGACGAGTCCGAGTTCAGCTTGGATGGTACTGTATTCCCTTACCACAGGCTTCGTTCAGCCAGTGCTGTCTTCTCAGGAGGAAAAGAACAGCTCAAGCCACAGCTGGGCTGTCCTCTCCCCCACAGCTGCAAACTCATTTCAAATGTCAATGGAAGAAGAGGACACATGCGGCCTCCCCAGGTCTTTTGTAACAAACTACCACCGACTTTGTTATTTCAAACAGAAATGCATTCTGTCACAGATGTGGAGGTGAGAAATCTGACACTAAGGTGTGGTATGTCTGTGCTTCCTCTGCAGTCACTGTGGAATGATTCCTCCAGTGGACCTTCCAGCTCGCTGGATGCCAACTTTATCCTCTGATTGAGTTGCTCCAACCTTGGTCTCCTTGGGCCCAATGCCTCCTTTTCTGTCTTTTTGATTTTTTTTTTCGTTTAAGTACCTGGTTATTGCATTTAATTCCCATGGAGATAATCTGGTATAATCTCCCCATGTGACAATACCTAATCACAGAGGAAAACTTTTTTCTACAAACTATAAT